ATAATATCCTGTATTAATTATAATTATTTATAATAAATTTCTCAAATTTTTTACAAAGAAATAATTCAAAGAAATAATTTTACAAAGAATAAGAAATTTGCTATATTTATTTAGTTTTACACAATTTTGAATACAGTTTTTTTAATTATTATTTGTTATTTATTAATAATTTAAATTGTAATGTCTAATAATGGAGAAATATGGATGAAAATAATGGATTTTAACGAGACTTCATGATATTTTTATTTTATGTATTACTTTTGCTTACTGTAAATATTACAACAAGCTAATAAAGATATACATTACTTAATATAGTTTTAAGAATATTTAACTGATATAATTTGTATATTTTTAAAATTAAATACCTCATAAATTCATATATGTAATTTTATTAAATAAAATTAATTAACAGAATATGAAATAAAAAATTTTCAATCATAAAATTTTGTAATTAATAAACTCAGACAAAATCAAAGCAAATTTACTCATAACAAAAACTATTTTACTCATAGTAATATGATAAAACAAAAATAATTGCATATTTATAGGATGAATAAAAATTTTTTGATTTAATTTATAAAAGAGAAAACAGACTTTTTCATTACTTTCATTAATAATATTTTATTAATAGTACTCTATTTAATAATAATATTAATTAATTATTAATGAAATACAATACAAGTATTTTTTTATTTTAAAGTATCACACACAATAAAAAAATTTTTGTTTTTTAATACTTAAAAAAAATAAAAAAATTTTTATTTTTTTCAACTTTTTCGAAACAATTTAACATTTAATATAAAATATATATACAATACATTATAAATATATTTTATTATATTGCATATTCTGGAATTTATACTACATAATATACTATATGAATAAAATAATATTGTATAACAGACACAAAATATAATATGAGTATTTTAAATAACATAGATAGTTGAGTTGTTACCTACATAATATTTATTCTCAAATTACATTCTATGTAATTTAAATGCTCATATATATATATACAATATATAACAATATATATATAAATATTTTTAAATAAGAAAAATAGTATATTATAATGTTTTATATTTTTATTATCTATATAAAAATATTATATATACATATTGTATTTTGTTAAGTATTTTATATTTAATACAAAGTATTTGTAAAGAAATTAATTTTATACATGTATAACAATATAAAATTTTAAATAATATTATAAAAATTATAACATTTACACATATAATATTATTATATTACTAAAGGACATTTAAATTTTATTTTTATATTTTTATATATTTTATAATATTATTTAAATTTTATAAATATTACACATTTACTTAAGTTTAACCATTATATTTATATATATTGTATACCTTTTGTTCTCTAACAACTTTTGTATTAAAAATATACAAGAAAAAAAATAAATGTTAAATGTTTCGATACTCCAATATGTTCCGTTTTTATATTATAGCAATTTTTTTTTTTTTAGGAAAAAGAAATAAAAAAATACAAAAGAAACAAACAAAAGGAGAAAATAATAATGAAAAGAAGAAGAAGAAAAAACAGAAAGAAATTAAATGAAAAAAAAACAGCATTAGAAAATACAGTACATATCTTTTGTATACCTACATATACATACATAAAATACAATTTTACTTGCTAAGTGTACAGGATATTATTTGTGAAAAAATATTATTAGTATATATATATATATAAATAAATATATATATATGTATATATATATGCATATATGTATATATGAGATATATATGGTTATATATATATATATATATATATATATATATATATATATATATATATATATATATATATATCTCAGTATTATATTATGAATCTATATGAAAATATATATTATGTAGGTATATTATATATTGTATATATAGTATATATAGAATAAAAATTCACATTACTTTACTTGAATTTACGGAAAGAAAAAATAAACGAAAAAATGGAAAAATAATCGCCATGTAGACATAAAAATAAATATCTATATATAAATATATATTGGTATATGTATATATATCTCTCTTTTAAAATATTATGTTTATAAATTTTTAACTGAAGAGTATTTATGTATACATACATGCATGCTTATGTTTATATTTTTATACATATATTTTGTTATATGTATATATATATATGTATATAAATAACTATTACATAGATTAGGTATATATTAGGTATATATATATATATGTATATATATATATATATATGTGAAGAGAAAGAAAACAAAAGAAAAAAATAAAATAATAAAAATGAAAGAAATATCCTGCCTGGGTAAAAATACAAAGAAAAAAATTGAAGAGAGAAAATGATTTCGTTTTTTATTCTCTCTTTTCAATTTTCTAGTGCCTTTTTTTTATGTTGTTTCTGATTTTTTTTTTCTTTTGTTCTCTATATTTTTTTTACTATAACTCTCTCTTTTTTGTTCCTTTATTTCTTTTTCCGTTCATACATTTTATTTTTGTGTTTTTCTTTTCTTTGAAATTTTATTTTATTAAAAAAAAATTTTTTTAAATTTTATTATTTCATAAAATTAATATTAAAAAATGAATTAATAAAGGTATGCATTGATAAAATATTTTATTTAAACTATTAATTTCTTATTAAGTAAAAAATATTTTATAATAATTTTAAATATTATTAAAATTAAGTAATTTAGTGAGTAATTAAATTTAAAATAAATAATTTTAAAATAATTGTGTTATTTTATACGTTTTTAATGTTATTAATAATTATTATTTTATTATTATAATAAAAATTAATTTCACATTTTATTTTTGAAAAATTTTTCAGTATAAGAAGTTTTTGATGTCTGATATGTTCAGAGTTTTTTGTATTAAATACCTGAAAAATTAATTAATATTATTATTTTTTTGTGATTTTATATTAATTTTTATTTCTATATTAATTATTAATTGTTATATGATTTTAATAATTACAATTATTGAAAATATAAATTTTCTTGTACATTTTATTTATTAAAATTTGAGATTTAATTTCTTTTAACTTTATTTTAATTATTTATATTAAATTTTTTATATTTTATTTAATTTCATTTTATTTATATATCGTATTCTTGAATTTCAATTAATTTTTGTTTTTTAATAAATAAAATCTTTAAAAAAGTTTCTTTTAAAAAAGAATTTTCTCATTTAATTTTTAAATGTTGTTATAGACAAGAAAGTTAAGAAAAAAAAACAGAAAAAAAAATAAAAACAATAGAAAAAAGAAAAATTTATGCGATTTTTTTTCTCTTTTTTTTTTTTACATTCTCTTTTCTTTTTTGTTGTGTTTTAATTCTCCTTTATTTTTTCTTTTGTTTGTTCTTTTTTGTTTTTAGCAGGGAAAATTTTTTTTTTTTATCAAATGAAAATTTTTCTATATAATTTTATTTATTCATATACATATATACACATACATACATACAATTGTAATGTCTATGCATACATATATATCACTACCCATATATATGGATATATATATACAGATTTTATAATTATCATTTTTATGTGAACCTTTAAATATTCCAAATATGAAAAATTAATAATTTGGAAAAAAAAAAATTTTAATATTGAATTATTTTATTATAATAATATTATGATAAAATAATCATTTTAAATATTTATATTATATTATATTTATGTTTTATATAATAGAATTAGTTTAGTACAATAACATTTATATGTAGCCAGTATATAGCAAATATAGCAATATAATATTTATTACAGAAATTGTAAGTACATTATTATATATATACATATATATAGCTATATATAGGTGCATATATCACCAATAATTTTTCATATAGATACACATATTCATGCATATACATTTATATATATATATACATGTATTTGCATATAATATTTTCATAATGAGAAAATTTAATATAAATATATGCTGAAAAAACCAAAATTTTTGAAAAACCAAAATTTTAAATTAAATATTTTTTTTTTTTGAAATTTTGATATATATGTATATATCATGAAATATATTTATAAAAAAAATATAATTATAATTTAAATATGAATATAATATGTGAATAATATTATATATATGATATACATGCATATAATATTTGTATAAGAATTTTTTTTTATTATAATTTTATATATACACAATAATTGTTATATTAGAAATACTGTATATATATATATATATATATACATATATAATTTGAATATAAATATAAAACGTATATTTATAATTATGTAATATTTGTAATTCACTTTTTATTATTTTAAATTTTATATATAAAAATTTTTGTTATAAAATTTTTAGAATTAATAAAAATATTTTCACTTTGATTCTTAAGTTTTTTGTTTTTCTTTATTTTGTTTAAATATATTTTTAAATATATATATATATATAAAATTTTAAGTACATTTATATATATTTGTAAAATTTCTATATGCATATATATATATTACTTTTTCATTATACATATATACTTATTATATATATATATATACTTCTTAATATTACATACCAGGGACTAAAAGGCTATATTATATATATATATATACATATATGTTCATATAATATTCAAGTTTTTTATTCTTTCTATATAGTTCTTGTTAAAGTATATGTTATTAATATGTATATTTAAGGATAAAATTTTGTATATATATATATGTATAAATGGAGATATATACATATATGCAGTAATATATATATTGCTTCTTCTTTTTTTTTACTTGTGTTCTTTTTTGAAATTTTTTCTTTTAAATTTGAAAATAATTTTTTTAAATTCTAATAAAAAGTAATAATTATATTTTATAAATATTTTTATATATGATATATATGTGATATATATATATATGTATATGTATTTATAAATATATTTTTTTAATTAAAGTTTCATTTTATTTTTTTTTATTATCTTTTTTTATTAATTTTTTTTTTCTAAAATTAAATACTTATAATATATTTAAAAAAAAAAAAAGTTACAATTAAAATGAAATTTTTTATTTTACGTTTTTATTTTCTAACTAGATCCTTTTCTTTTTTGCTTGTTAACAACTTATATTAAATTTTAATTAAATTTTTTTTTTGATAATTTTTTTCTTCTTATAGAGTTTTTATTTTACTTTTCTTTTAAATTATTTAATAATTATATTTTATTTTTTTTATTTTTATATTATTATATAAAAAAAAATTAACAATTGAAATAAAAAATAAAATTATTTTATTGAATAAAATTTTTTTTTTTCTATTTCAAAATACTTTTCATCGGTTTTGCACGTCTACAATTCGCCTTGTCTGCGGAACCGCCCTAAACACAGTCAGAGAAAATTCAACGAAACTGTATGGTATAACTTTTCAATTTTTATCATCAAATCTAAAAAAAAAAGAAAAAAAATAAATAAAATTGAAAATGTAAGAAAAGGAAAAATTTAATTTTCATATTTTCTGATTTTTTTTTATTATTGTTTTTTTTTTTTGTAGAAAATTTCGTTAGGTTTACACGAAGAGTAGCTACAAAACGGAGTATAAAAAAAAGAGAAAATTCAGACATATTATACAAACATGTATATTAAAATTAAGTACTAATGGAGAATCAAAAAAAAAATAATAAAAAAAATAAAGGACAATCCTAAATGAGAACTGCTAATGAATTAAGGATAACAACTTATCTATTTCGTTAAAAATATATAAAGAAAAAAGAAAAAATATTTTTCGTTAAAAATTCTTGTTATCTTTTTTATTTTCAAATAAACACCAAATTTTATATAACCATCAAATAATTTACCTTTTATATATATATATATATATATATACATACTACATAAACATGTGTATGTATTACTTTTTTTATATGTATTGGAAATTTTGAAAATAAAAAAGATTTGGTAACATTTTTTTCTTATTTACACATTTCGCTTTGCTTACCAGTGTATTTACAGATTCTCTCTATATTACATACATGAAAATGCGCTCTCAAAAAATATCAGTGCTTTCTTCTATATACATATGTAAATACAGGATTAAAATATATTAGAGTGCGCGATTGTTCAATACATACAGATACGTAAACACACACAATATAAAAATTTGAAAGAGAAAAAAAGCTTTTTTTTTGTCTTCCATAAAATGTTTTTTTTTTCGTTAAAAGGAAAATTTTACGAAATTTTAGGATTTCGTTTTTTCTCAACAAATTAACAAATTTTTTTTTTCTGGTTTTGTTAAGAAAAATTATATTTTGAAGTTTATATGTTAAGAATTTTTTTTTTTTTTGCAGAAAGATGACATTTTTCTTATTCACAATTGTGTTTTTTTTTTTTTGCTTAATTCACGTTAACATATTTTTTGGCGTTTGTTTTATTGACGTCAAAGAGAAAAAACGAAATTTGTTCAGAATATTCCCGAAATTTCTCGTAAAATGTTTCTGAATGATAACCTTTTAGTTTTAAATGAAATATTCTCATTTAATATTCTAACGATTCCAGTGATTTGCAGTGTTTTCCATTTGAATTTGCTGAATTTTTGGAAGAATTGAAAAAATATTTTCAAAATTGGTTCCCAATTTAGAATTTTATATTTGATCCTTTTCTCCATCAATGAAACCTCTTCATCTTAAGGCGGGTTTTTCTTTTACAAAAAAACAAAGAGGTTTTCATACTTTACTTTAATAACCCCTCAATATCTGAATCTACCATTTTAAAATTTAAAATTTTTTTTTAATTTTTAAATTTAGAAAAAAAATTTCATAAGGCATTTTCATTTATAACATTTCTTTATTACAGATAGAATTTCCGAACGCATTTTATTGCAACCAGTAATTTCCGAACGATCTATATTTTTAGTGTATGTATAATGTAAATTTTCGAATGTACTACAAGCTAGAACTATTCTAGAACTGAATAAACGAAAAACTCCCTTTTTATGTCTTCAAATTTTGTTAAAATTTCCTTATTTTGCAGTAAATTGGTAGGCGAAAAGTATTGGGATACAATTTCATAAAAAAAGTCATTTTCGAACGACTGATAATTTAGAAGTTTCAGAATTTGTAGACTGCGTAAACAAAAAAAGCTTAGCTAAAGTTTTTGCATACTGTTTAACGCTGTAACTTAGATATTTTAGTTCTAATGCAGAACTTTCAGCACAGCGTGCATAAACGAAAACCCCGATTCAACCAGAAAAAGATTCTACTATTTCGAACAAATTAGATATAACAGAATAAAATTTCAATATTAAATAAATTAAAAAAGAAATAAAAGATTTTATTTTAATTATTTTAATATATTTCTTTGTTTTTATTTTAAAGATTTTTTTTTTTTTTGTTTTTTAGTAGCTAAATTTTATTTAATAGATATAGGTTTTATTTATATATATATTTTTTGTTTTCCTTATTTTGTTTTTTTTTTGTTTTTTTAAGTTTATTTTAATTAACAAATGTTTTTTGTGTATTTTTAATTCTTTTCTATTTTCATACGTTAATTTCATTTTTTTTTTTGTTTGTTTGTTTCTTTTGTGTTTTTTTTTTAACTTTTACAATATCGGTTTTTTTTTTTTTTTTGTTAATTTTGTATTTCTTCTATTAAATATTCGTAGTTTACATTTTACAATTATTAAATTCAATAAGTGCACTTACCAAACATATTTCTTCTATGTTTTCTTTTTTTTATTTTATTTATTTTTAATTATTAAATTTTATTTAAGTTTTTGCTTTTTTTTTATCGATAGCTATCTTGTATTTTGTTTTTTTTTTCTAATTATAAATTCATTTATTTTTTTATATTTTATTTTAAATATTTGATTTTATTAATATTTTGCATTCAATTTAAAAATATTACTTATTGAAAAACAAAAATTTCAAATTATTTTTATAATTTTATATGTTTTTTTTAATATTTAAAATCATTTTAATTTAAAAAAAAAAATAATATTTATTTATTAAATTAAATGAAAATTAATGAGAAGAAAATTGAAAAATGAAATATGAACAATCGGGCGTATTAAAATTTTTTGATTTTGAACTCATTCGGTTGATTAGATTCATTAAATTCAAAATTAAAATCAATATTTTCGAAATTGAATGAGAATAGGAATTAATGAGAATTCAATAATTATATTTGTAAAATGAAAAATTAAAATTACAATTATAATTAAAGTAAAATAATTACAATAATTACAAAATATTTTATTCAGAATTTTAATTATTTATTTAAAAAAATATTTAATAAAATTATAAATTTTCATAAATTACGCCCGGCTATATGTAAGCATTCTTATTAGAAAATAAATTGGAATTATATAATGGCAGTCGAGAATAATATTATGATGTAAAAGCATAATTTATATTATTGAAATACAGAAAAAAAAAATACAAGTAAAAAAGATATTAATTAAATTATATATATGTACACAAAAAATAAATGTTTGGTTAATATTTAAATTATGATTGCAAAAAAAAACAAAGAAAAAAGAAGTATTTAATTACTAAATTAATTTATTAAAAGAAGTGTTTTTGAAACTTGTATTACATTATTAAATTCCAATATTATAGAAAATTAATTTTTAATTTATTATTTTTAACATTAAAAATGTCTTGATAGTATTGATTTTTTACTTATTACATACAATTCTAAATTCCATTAAAAAAAAAAAAAAAACATTTAACTGGCAGGCTTTTAAAATTTTAAATTTTTAATTTATTTTTTTTTTTTTTTTTAAATAATTTCATAGGCTCTAATTAAATCCCAAAATTATTTTAAAAGTCTTTAATGTTATTTAACTAAGAATAAGCAAAATTTAAGAGAATTAAAAATTTGAATTGGATTTCATCCCGTTTTCTTTTAAAAGAATATTTTTCTTATTTTTTTTAATCTATAACTTAAAAAATTATTTTAATTTTTAAAAACATTTTATTCCTCTACTACACAACACCAGTATTTTATTAAATTTAATATTATATTCCAAAAACACTTTAAAATAATTAAATATATATATATAGCTATGTATATTTAAATTTTATAAGAAAATTTTAAAAGGAAATAAAAACAAAGTTTAAAAATAATTAAATTCAAAAATATTTTTTTATAATTTGTTCTGTTTTTTTTTTTTTTTCTTTCTAATAACTATTGAGCAGTTTATTTCTTGAGTATAAAAATTATTGTTTAATTAATTTGAAAATACACAAAAAAAAAAGGAAGAGAAATCCTAGAAAATAGTACCCAATTTAAAAAAAAAGTAGTGCTTTATTAATAATATTTTATAATAATAGTATCATTCCTTTCTAGAAAACAATTAAAAAACTAATACAAACATTCTAAAAATCGCAATATTGTTAAGCAAAAAAACTTCGACCGACCTCAACAAATATAATTTCTAAATTATTTGATTATTTCTAATTTGCCGAATAATATATGATCTAATAGCTTCAACTTAATATTGTGATAGTGCATTTTTTTTCAAATTCAATTTTAATATTAAAATTAAAATTTCTTACACAATAAATTTGAAAATGTATTTATACTCAAAGAATATATCAAATATATTATAATTAATTATACTATTTTAATTAAAAAAAAAAAATTAAACAAATTAAACAAAAATAGTTATTTATTAAATATATATATATTATTTTTAAGAAAAAGTTCCTCAAATGCCTTCACTCTTTTAAAAATTTCACAAATATTTATGACTTTACTCAACACTACATTTCTATACACAATTAATTTTTAATTATAAAATTTAAATATAATTAGAAAAAATAAAAATAAAATGTATTTTATTGAAATATGCAAATAAGTTTTACTGCTCAATATTTAATTTCCTAAATTCTAAAAAAAAACAAAACATTTAAAACCTATTGTAAGCACCACAGTCGGTTAATAAATAAAAGCTGTCTAATTTAACACAATTAAAAAGTACGTTATTAAGCTCACCAAAAAAAAAAACAATTATTTATTTATTGACCGACTGCAGATTTTCTAAATAAATTTAATATTTCTTAGCAATAATTATTGTTTTACTTAATTTAAAATAAAAAAAAATATTACAATTTTTATAAAAATTTCTAACAAATTATTATTATTTTTTTTTCGATTAAAATTAGTTTCGAATTAAATTTAATATAATTTAAATTATTAAATGAGTTGCTTTTCGAAATGCGAATTCTTCTAATTTTTTATGGTTTTTTTAATAAAATTTTTGAAAATTGTTAGAAATTTTTACATCAGTAAAAAATTATTATATGTAAATAAAAAAAAAAAAAAAAATATTATGAATAATTATTTAATTTTATTACTACAAATATTTTTTAACATAAGTTTTTATTTTATTAAT